GCGAGAGTTTAAATGTGCGCTTGTTGAAACCCGGGACCTCACCTGCTTAATGTAAAATACGGTTCTGCCCGTATAAACTGTAGCTTATTCTAATTCTAGCAGTCCTAAACAAAGAAAATACTCCCTCAGTGTACCACTGCTCGACGACATAACCTGGAATACTACCTGAGGAATTATAGCTTCTTACTAATGTCCCAAGTTTTGGAGGATTTTTTCACCGATGGCCTTTTCCAGCTTTGTCAAGGTTTTTTACAAGCCGCAAGGGTGCTTCGGTTAAATTGGATTTTGTGTTTCTGGATCAACTGCAGTCCTCCAAGTCTATTTATTAAGTTTAAAGCAATAGAATGATGTCCTTGGCTGTTTCTGGATTTCTGGTTTTATTTGGCATAGATTTTTTTTACCATATTTTCGTTACATTTTCTTCTCTTAAACCCCATTAAGGTTTCGATTTAAAAAAAAAAAAAGATATTAAACATTCAAGACAGTGTATTTATCTCGGGAATCGTAAAAAAATTTCCGCTGCGCGTCATATTTTTAACTCTCTTCTCGTTGCTTGGAAATGTGGTAAAACACAGTGTGTAGTGGATTACTGCGTATACGGCTACAGATATTCTATTGCTTTTGATATTCTCCTCGCCTGCTATTTTGAATTGTAGGGATGTCTCATAACCGGCTGTCATAATGGTGGCGTTTGTGTAGCTGACGAGATGAAACAAACATTTTCATGTTTGTGCCAGGTACCGTGGGCTGGAGCAAAATGTGACATTAAAATCGGTAAGAAATGTAAAAGCTCATACGAAGGCAACAGAGAGATGCTGTCAATGGTATTGACTGGGTTGAATCATTTCCTTTAACAATCTACACGTAGGTTTGGTGACGGATTTCCGCTGACCCAAATGCATAGTCGTCATATCTTCGATGGTACAGTAGCCCGTTTCCGAGTTGCTCTAAACGTCTCTATCAAAGCGAGGCCTTATTAACAACTTTCATATGAAAATGAGTTTAATTTTGCATGTGAATGAAGTCTCATTTTCGTATGAAAGGATAGACACCAAGACTCGCTTTGAGAAAGAGCTAAGGCTCAAGGTAATTCGAACCTTGTCGAAGATGGCGGCAGAGGGACAAAGTTCCCGCAACAAACCTTGGAAAAGTACAACAGTGATGCCAATTGCAAATATTTCTTAGTGCTAAAGATAACTTGGAGTAAGACATAATTGTCAACAAATGAAACAAATTACGTATAAGAACGCTTTGGCTATTTGCCAAAGTATTGAATTAATTTTTGACAACTTTGTAACATCTTTAATTTATTCATCTTTCAGATGCCTCCTCGTGCGACGAGGCCCAAATGAAAGTCAACCGGATGTTACAAAATGGAGAATATCTGTTAACAATTGGAAGCTTGTCATTAAAGGTAAGCAAGATTAAAAAATCATTACTTCCTTGTAATAATATCATAACGCTGCGTGCCGCTTATTGTTGTAGCAGCCTAAAGGTCGGAACACACGAGGGGACCAGTCCCTGTGACTAGTCGCTGCAGCTAGTCCCCTGAAGAGTTTACATGAAGGGACTGCTCGCAGGGACTTGTCCCACGAACAGTTCACACGAGGCGTTTTGAGGAACAAGTCGAAGGGACTTGTTCCCACAAATTCAAACTGGTTTGGATTCGTGGGACTAGTCGCAGGGACCAAACTTTGCTCCCTGCGACTAGATTTTGAAGCAAAAATGGCCAGTTCACACCATGGGACTTCTCCCCGCGACTTCCTGCAGGGTCTAGTCGCAGGGACTATCCCCCTCGTGTGTGCTGACCTTAAAAGTAAAGTAAGCCGTCTGTTGAACTCTACCCTACCCTACCCTACCCTACCCTCACCTCACCTCCTTCCCTTTCCCTCCCCTCCCTTTTCCCACCTTCCAAACAGCACCACCACAAGCACCTTTTTTGAATGTTTAAATAAATTTTAACTTCCTTTCTTGTTGCTTATGAGTTTAGATAACATGAGCAAGGAAGCTAAAATTTTTGAAATAACCACCATGTTGACCAACCGAGTTGTAGTTTTATCGAGACGTGAGTAATGGTGTTAAAACATTTAGGACTAAATTGGCCGACTTTCTCTTTGTTGTCTAACGTGACAGAAAACGATAAAATTTTTCTTCCACAAATGCATTTTTGTTTTTAGTAGGTGTAACTGTTGCTAGGTGTTGCCATGGTAACCTATTGTGTCATAAAAGTAGTAACAAAATGTTCACCAATGACTGGGCAGTTTGTTGATACTATAAATGTAGCATCAATCGACAAAGAGTGGTTGAAATGACCTATCAAAGTGCTGGAAACTGTTGCCAGCCACCTTAAAAGCCCGTCACCTCTAATTACACGTACCAAGAGCCTTCAATGTCATCGCTTTAATTCACTTCTTCCGTATTAGGTGTACTGTCACATGACAGATGATGGTAAAGGATGGACTCTGATCGCCCGATTCTCAAATAGTGACATAAGAAGGTGGATGTTTGACTCCGGACGCTTCTGGTGCTTCAAGATTAATGCCCTTGGAAACACAACTAGTCCGTCGATAAACGCTGACATGATCTCTACCGCATTTTGGTTCGTCAGCGGCAGAGAGTTTAAGATCACGCGTAGTGATGACCCCAATCACACTCCTCTGTTACAGACCACAGGTACCTGTTTGGCTGGACAAACATTCCGATCAAAAATCACAAGTTATGGCGACTTTACAGATGGCAAAGTTTGG